CTTCTTTATTTCCTTGTTTCTCATCCTTTCCTCTCCCTTCCTCTTCGCCTCCTTTCCTTTCCTTCCTTCTCCCCTTCCTTCTTTCATCTTTTTATTCTTTCCAAAATATGACCTGTGTCATAGAAAACATGACTAGGGACTATGCATGGGAAGAATTTATTCACTTATATGGTACATTCTAGACTTGAAACAACCCAGTCCTATTGGGGAAGGAAACTGTAGACAGGGTAAGCACTATTGTGGGTTTCGGCGCAGTTCAGATTACATACTGAGCAAGGGAATATTTTATATTGTTCAGTGACAATATAAAAGCCATTAACAGCACTGTGACTTTCTAGCCTCAAAGAACACAGCCTCAAGTGAGAGATAGACTCCTCAAAAAGACTGAATAGAGATGGGAAAACTTAAGCTTATAGAGGAAGTGTAAAGCTCAGCATCCTTCTTTTGGGGAGCCGAGGGGCTAGGGATGGAACCCATGGCCTCCTGCATGTTAAACAAGTTCTTCCCCAGTGAGCTACATCCCCAGCCCTCAGCATCCTTCTGGTCACTCTTCATTAGCTCTTGGCATACTATTTTTCTCTAGTCCTTCTAAAGTTTTTGTTAGCTTTCTTTTTCTTACTCCCTTCTCTAAAATCTGTTTCTCAATTGGTTTTTTTTTCTTTTTAAAAATTTTTACTTATCTTTATGCGTATGAGTGATTTGCTTGATTGCTGTGCAATGTTTGCAGGGGCCAGAAGAGAGTGTTGGATCCCTTGGAACTGAAGTTAGGGATGGCGGTTAGCCACCATATGGGTGCTGGAAATCGAACCCAGGTCATCTGGAACATAGCCAGTGCTCTTAACCGCTGAGCCGTCTCTCCAGCCCATTTAAAAAAATATATTACCTTTTATTGTGTGTGTGTGTGTGTGTGTGTGTGTGTGTGTGTGTGTGTCTGTGTGTGTACTTGTGTTAGTGCATATGTGGAGAACATATGGTGTATATGTCACAGGACCTTTTACCTCCACACAAATGCCATGGCATGTACAGAAGCATACACACACACACACACACACACACACACACACACACACACAC